CAAATGTGACAGCTGTTTTCCTGTGCTGTCACAGGTTTTCTGTAGGAGAGGCTCAGAAACACTAAGTTATGCAGCAACACGCTGACTGAAGAATCTAATGGCTGCTCGCCAGCAGCACAGAAGGAATACAATGCAGTAGCCCATAGCTCAGGGTACTCTGTGCTCTGTGTATGTGACTGCACGAGAGAGAAAAAAGTGAAAGTCTATATATGTTGTAGAGAGGGATGTAATTGTAACTGTCCCCTGTGTGTGTGTGTTTCAACTATTTTTCTCTATTCATGTTCTTGTAATTAGATTTCAGGGCAAAAACAGGTCAACAGAAATCTCAATGCACACATGGGATGGAACAACGCCATGCCTAACACACACAGTACAGACACACATTTATATAACAGCATAAACACCAGCAGTCAGTCAGCAGGTGGTCATGGCGCTTGCTGCAGCAGACTGCCACCGAGGAGATTGTTGTCCCTCTCATTAAAATCCAATGGAGACGCCATCAATCTTCTGAGATCAATATGTCTCCTCTACCTCCCCCTTTCTTTCGTTCTCACTCTCTCTTTGTCTCTCAGTCTCTAATGTGTGCGAGGATATGGATGTGGCTTCGGGGGGAGATATATAAGCCAGGTACTGAGTATGACCTTCACTTAAGAGACCCAGCGCTGATATGGGACGTGTAAGGAAGAGCAAGTTGCCAGCTCTCTATCACTCTTCCCTGCTGTTGTCTGTTTGTCCTCCTGGTAGGCTGGACATCCCCACCAAGTGGTGTAAAGCAGCAATGATCACAAGGCTGAAAAAAAACTTTTTCAGTGTCTAAATTTAAAACAAAAGAAATGGTTGGTGTAGGATGGCTTATACAAAGAGAAAGCAGCTTTTTGAGTGAGGAATTTGAGATGACTCAACAAGACTGGTTCAATTTTTATCTCATCCTATAAGAATCCCTCAAAATGTAATCAGTATGATGCTGCAGGCGTGCTATAAACACTAAAGGCTTTTAATGGCAGGGGAGAAAAGCAAGCAGGAACTGTATCTTACAAGACCTCTAGCTGTCAATATGCTTTTACAGGTGTAGAGTTATGTGTACTGATGGCAGTTATTAAGACAATTGTATTTCCTAGGTCAAGTTGTGTGAAACGTGACTAGTGTGCAGAATTATTTCCTTGAGTCTTTTTTTCATATTTGTGTCCATCAAGCATGGGTGGATTGAGAGACAATGAGCCCCTGGGCACAGACATGCAGAAGGCCCCACCACCTCTTTACACAGGAGCAAGACACACAGACTTTATAGATGTTTAGCCTCTTTTTGTTGTTGTTTTGTGTCTTTTTGTAAGTGTTACAATTCAATTCAATTCAAACAACTGTACTGGCATATACAAAGATATGTAATTACAAAAGAATTTCATAAAAAATAATAAATAAATAACTAAAATAAGTAAAGGAATAAATAAAGACAAGTAAAAATAAAAAAAATCATATTTTACATGTTACATACATTCATACATTATACATACACATTTAATATACAGGTGTCGCGTACAGGTTCTAGATTATACTGCTTTTTTCCACAGATGAATACATATTAATTGTTAGTCCCTCAGGCTGTGGCAGGCAGATAAATATTTAGATACAAAAGGAGCCGTTGTCCCTTCACCCAGGAGAACTGCCGGAAATCTCTGACTGAGGAGAACTTTTCACAGCGCAGGAGGAAATACATTTCTGTTTCTACCTCACCTGCAGTGACTACAATCTCTGCAGTTTTGTGGCTCTTTGTAGTTTCTTTTTGTCTGTGGTTGTTTTGCCCCCTATGTAGTCTTCTATCTATCTGTCTAGTCTCTTTATAGTTGCTTCGCATCTCTTTGTAGTAATAATAATAAAATAATGATAATACTATTAATGTATTTTATTTATAGGCACCTTTCAAAGCTCTCAAGGACACCTTATAGACACAGATAAAACAAGCAGCAATGTATCCACAGATCATAAAGTCAAATGAATCAGTAATAAGGTAATGAAATAACTAGACACAAATCATAATTATAAACACTAGGTATAAAATCATCATCATAACATCATCATCATCAGTGCAAATCTCCATGTGTGTGTCACCATTATATCAGACTGATGCCAGCTTGAAAAGGTGTGTTTTCAGACAGGATTTAAAGGTTGATAGGGAGTCTTGTGGGTGACAGTTTCAAAGGCGGGAAGCAAAATGGCTGAAGGCTCCAAAACCCACTATCTGTCCCAAGTGGACAGATAGTGATGTGAGTTGGATTGCATTTTTTGTGGTTGTTTTGCCACTTTCATGGTCAATGTGAGTCACCTTGAGTCTTTTTGCAGCTGTTTTGCCATGGATGGATTACTGAATGGGCCATATTGGGCACAGGCCCAGGGGCCCAAAGTGTCAGGGGCCTCGCTAGCTTCGCGAAACGGCACTCAAATTAACACGTACTACGAAGGAATGCACAATAACCACATGGAGATGCAAAACAAATACAAAGCGACACAAAATGAATAAAAAAGACAACAAAATAGAGGCAAAATCACCACAAAGTCCATGTGTGTCCAGTCTTAAGAACAGGAGATGGTGGGGCCCATTGTCCCATAATCCATCTATGTTTTGCATCTCTTTGTGGTCGTTATATGATTCTTTGTGTTCATTATGTGTCTCTTTCTGGTTGGCACATGTTCAGTCGAGTGATATTTTGCAGGCCAGAATGCCCCCTGACACCCCTGGGAGGCTCGTCCATTACTCCATCCACGCTGCCAAAACTTTGGATTCCTGTTATTAACAAATCCCTCTGTGTTTGGTTCTCAGGTTCCCACCAGCCTGTGCTGCCCAGAGGCGGATACATGCGCTCCCCCTCATGGACACGCTGCAGCAAAGTTGAGCCCCCGCGAGAGAGAAAGCACCACAGCGACTCGGACACCGCAGAGCCCTTAATGAAGCTGGAGAGGCCGAAGCAGCCGTGACATCTGATGTGAAACAGCAGCGAGAGAAAACCCAGAGACAGACAGACACATCCAGAGCGGGAACACAAAGCGGACCAAGAGGCCCCCCATCTGCCACTGTGCACTCACATAACGTTTCATGGTGCTGACGAGTTCAGGTTGAGCTCTGGACAACGTGTTCTGTACTCTAAAGATGTTGAGATGTGCAATACACAATCTCTCCTTCTCTCTTTCTCTCTCTCTCTCTCTCTCTCTCTCACACACACACACAATCATTGTATTTTTCATGCAAGAGGTTCTTAACATACTCTGGGCTGCCAGACAATTTTAAGCTTTGTTTTTGAATGACAGACAGGGTATGAGGTCAGAAGAATAACAGCACCTCCATCCTTACAGCCTCTCAGGGTGGGAAATAGCCTGGACAGTGAGATTGGTTTCTAAATTGTGTCCACAGCGTGTGGCCAGCCCTTCCATGTGAAGTTCAGACACTGGGATTCACATTGAATTACCAGGATTTGATTTGAAACGTAAATCAACAGAGCTGATAAAAATAAAACATCACTCCGAGGCTATATCTTAATGTGTTGGCTTGAAAATGTGACAGGGTTTTTTTTCTGTTGCCTGCAGTAAAGGTAACTTATCCAGTGGGAGTGGACATCACTGAGGCCGCACTCTCTTTCTCCATTGTGATGAGGACTGTGTGTTGTTATTATAATTGCCTAAATGAAAATTTTTGCACTTGTCTCACTGGATTGTATTTACTGTGCCCCGCAGAATTATTGGCATTTGGTGCAGATGACACACAAGATAAACAGACCAAGTAGCAAGCTATATGCAATACACTTTTCCAGACATTCAAAATTTATTTGAAGAAACGTTTTATGATTTCTTTATCATTATTTAAAAAGTGATGGCTGCCAGAGTTGCTGCTGCTAAGGTAATTAGAGTTGATCGATGCATTGACTTGATGAGTGATACTTGAAGCAGTTAGAAATTGAGGGAGAATGGCATCATAATCAGGTGGACTTCAGTGAGCTTTGCATGAATGCCAAAAATACAACAAAGTGCCAACAATTTTGTAATCATCTTTTAAAGGATGACTTCAACGCATAATGAAATATTTCACATCTTTGTAAGCAAAGATCATAGCTGATTACTTGCTTTATTTATCTCACGTTTAGCTTGTCTTTACCAGGAGTGCCAACAATTCTGAATGCTGTGACATGATGGATCAAAAGTGACACTGGGATGATAGACGAATAAATAAGGGTCTTGAAAAAGTTCTCTTCATTGTGTCATTTATGAACTACACTTATGAGATGCAGCCCCATTCTGTACTGTGTGGCGAGCATGCGTCATGATATACATCTAAAAAGTCTTCCTTGAATTAAATTAAGTTGCGCAGTATTAAAAAATAGGCAGAGTGGGAACAGCTGATTAAATTAACTTGTATTCACACGAGACTGTCAGCAGGTTAACAGTTAATTTTGTGTCCACTGTCAGTGCTGTTAAATATTAATTAGAACAAAGGCCAAAAAAAGTGTGCACTGCAGAGGAGAGATCACACTGGCTGCTCAGCATCTGAGTAACAAATGAATATGAAAAGTCCTTCAAATATTTCTAATGCAATTGTGGCTTGATCACACAGGGGTTAAGGCCACATGCCCCATGCACACCGCTGTCAGTCCTCATAACTTGGTGCAGGTGATGGCAGGAAACATCAGATTGAGGACAAATGAACAGATACACCTCACACAAGATAGCTGAATTGTTCTTCTTTCAATTAAGTCTTCACTTGAAATGATACAAACAATGTGTTTCACCAATGGCTTCATCAGGTTTTGATGATGACTGATGAAGCCATTAGCAAAATGCATTGTTTGTAACATTTTAAGTGAAGACTAAATTAAAAGACGAAGCAATTAAGCCCTTTTATGTGTGGTGTATCTGCTTATTTGCTATCAAGCATAATTTTTAGAAATTATACATAATAAGAAAAAACTGGGCTGATAATACAAAACAAAGATACTGAGAATAAAGAGACGGACCAGTGGGGTGTAAAAGTTGTTTAATATCGGTGTGAGCCACAACAGCCTCACATTCATTTGTCATCACATCATAATCCTCACTGACATGTACAAAGGAATATTCATCAAGCAAGAACAAGGATAGTGCATTGTCAAGCAGGCACAAAACACGCAATATATTCAATTTACAATGATATACAACCAGCCTGCTCATCATATAATAATGTTTGTTTTTTTAATATGGATGAAAAAATGGTCCAGTGTCAAGCTGGTTCGAACCCTTAAAGCTTCTACTGGAAAACCTGATAAAAAAAAATAAAAAGGGCCTTCACTGCCCATACTGCAAGGCATTTAGTTCAAGTACATTTTTATTTTAAAACCTATTTACGTGGCTCAGGAGCTACTGGGTTAACCATTAAGACACTGTTAACATTGTGATGACAGTGTGTAACCAACCCTCGTGGGAGGTGCTCTCAAATACATGAAATGCTACATGGATAGTTATACAGCAGAGATTGCGTGGAAAAGCCAATTAACCCTATCTTTAATTTAAGACCCTAATTAGTGTGTAACACTCACCAATATGATTAACAAAAGAAAAAGGCTAAAAAGCATAACCAGAGTGTGGTGTGAGTATTGTGACCAAAAATTGTCAGTAAGATGGTTTTATTGTAACAGCTAAGAGTCAGTTAAGAAGACGGAGACTGTGAGGTAGTGTGAGTGAATGAAGAGGGCGTGGCTCATCTCATCTGTTCCCAGCTCTCATGGGTGTCGACATCAATGTTGACTCTGAATACTTTGGGACACTGCGAAGGAGACGACACCCTACAGTACATGCGATCCAATGACATTGGTAAAATCGGTGCACAAAGCACATTAACAAACAGTTCTAACAGCTGCCTTTAGTGGAAAAATTAATAAGAGCCGGGCTAAGAAAGGGTTAAAGTCTGTTGGAAGACTATAATGGTGATGAAAATGTAGAAATTAAGAATTACTTCCTTGTACGATGGTGTGAGAAAGAAGACAGTCAGCAGTGCCTTTGAAAATTGAATCATCTGAGAAGCCTGGTCTCCCCCCTCAGGAAAAACACATTTATATATTTAGCTATCAACATAATGAAGTGGCAGCCGAGGCTGGAAGCATTGTTATTAGCTCTATAGATGTATGGTTTGAGAAAGGCAACGAACATCAGTATAAAATCTAACTCATATGATACCATCACATGATACTAGCACAGTGTGTAACTGAACAATGCACATCACAGCTAATATAACTGTCACATGATGTCCACTAACTGTGAATGTTAAAATGTATGTCTCAGTCAATTTCTGTTTTGTAACTTGAGCTCAGTAACTTTTCAGACCATGGCTACAGATGACTCTGTGGTGTGTACATCAGTGTCGTTGCACTGTAGGACTGAATCAGAGCTTGGAAGGAAGGCACCTTCAGTGAAATGTTCACTGCAAACTGACCTGACTGTAAAGTGATGAGTAATTTTTTCCATAATTCCCCCAAGAATATAAAAACTGCAATTTAAAAAATGTTATTATCCAGGCCGTTTACGACTTGTGCAGGACATCTCCATCCCTCCTTTTGCAGCTGTCCGTGAGATGAACAGGGGATCACTCTCAGAGCCCTGACAGTCTGGACCAGATGGCGCTCGAATTCTCACCTGAATCCAGTGGAATATTTGCCCTGAGGCTGCATGTCCACCTACAGGTAAAGGGCTGATCTGTTTTGCCGATTCTGGGGCTGTTTTTCCTCCCCTTTGTTCTTGTTCCAGTTCTTTAGCCCTTCAGGTAGAGAGGTGTCCTCCTCAAGTTCCCCCAGCCCTTCTACAAACTCCTCATATGAAGTCTTCTCTTGAAAGGGACGGGCTCCTAGCAGCTCCACCATGTCAGCTTTGTCGAGAATCTCCTTTTCTAGAAGACGTTTTGCCACCTGCAACACATGACCAATAACAGTAAATAACTGGTAGTTTTATGACAATGGCTGACCACATTAATAGACAAGTTATGATATCACAAATAGATGTTTAGGATGTCGAGGTTCACCATCTTCCTCACAATCCAAACGTTTTTTTTAAAAAAACTGAACAAACCATAATAAGCTATCAAAGTGCTGCATCACACTGGCTCTTCATCTATACATCTATTTACTGAGCGATAATAGATCTCACCTTCTCAACCATTTCCTTCCTGTCAGTGACGAGCTTCAGTGTTCGCTGGAAGGCAGAATCTATAAGCAGGCGGACCTCCTGGTCTATGAGCTGGGCTGTGGTTTCACTGTAGGGCTTCTCAGTTACTACATCACCCTGCTGGGGGAGGTCGAAGGACACCTGACCCACTGCATCGTTCATTCCAAACTGTACAACCTGAAGTATGAGGAGAAAATAGCACTGTAAGTCAAAGGACAAACCGTTTCGTATGTGACTTTGGTAACAACATTCTCTGACTAACAAAATGTGCAGAGTGACCTGTAATAGTCTGAGCGGTAAAAAGACTCTAATCTTCAAGTTGACACTGCTGCAGTCTGCAGGAAGCTACTTGTTAGCAAAGCTCAACTGAAATAATAGTGTACAGTGACAAAGGAGCTGCAGTGTTTATCCTGTCACTATCTTTTGAGAAAATCAATCTTGAAACACGCTTGGTATACAGAATGTAATTGCTAATTTTGTAACTGGTGTTGCAGTTTATTATTACCTATTTTTAAGGAATACTTACTTGCAAAATGACCATTTTTATATAAATTACTCACCACGACTCACCATTGAATTTGTTAAGAAATCTTTGTTTTTCTTGCATGCCTTAACAGTGCCCATAGAATCCGAAAAAGGAAAACATTCATCATGAATTTAAGTAATCAGGGTCCGTATTTAGCAACAGCATAACTATATCAAGACATCTGTTTACATACTCTCACACAACTTGAGCAGCATAATCCAAATCCTATTAATCCAGTAATCTGCTCAATTCAAATATGTGCATTTTTGCAAAAACGTGAAGATCGAAAACACTGTGTTTGGAAAGTACTGAGCATGTGGCTGGATAAATGAGACTTGGATTACACTGCAAGAGATATGTGAGAATTTGCAAACAGATGTTTTGATATAGTTTTGCCTTTGTTGAATACAGACCCTGATTACTTCTATTTATGACAAATGTTTGCCTTTCTTAGATTCTTTATCTACCATGGAGGCATGCGAGTAAAACAGTTTTCTTCAATAAAGTCAAGGTAATGAGGTGAGTTCCTTCCTTTATTATGAGTCATCACCACCTATTCAACAACTTCTATTCAGCATATGAGAGTGTTTGACTCCCAATCACATAAAATCTAATGACAATGGATTATTACATACAGGAGTTTACTGCCTTGTGTATCTGTTAACACACTGTAAAATGTAATGATAACCTGTGCATACGCAGACTGTGTCACCTTCCTGAGGTCATCCTGAGCCCCGGTGGTGATTCGCTTAAAGAAAACCTGCTCAGCCACTCGACCCCCCAGCATCATGCACATTCTGTCAAACAGCTGCTCCTTGTTGAACAGGTACTGCTCCTTGGGCAGATACTGCGCATAACCTAAACCTTTCCCTCTGGGAACGATGGACACCTGAGGGAGGACATTATGATTTATAAATTAACAATATCATTGTTTGGTGAGATCCTCACAAGGTAAAAACAAGATTATGCAATGCTGCAGAAGAATTACGACAGTCAAGCGGCACTGTGAGAGAAAAGAAAAAGGAAACAGGGTGACTACCTTAAGTAGGGGGTCTGCATGTTCTAGGAACCAGCCTGCCACAGCATGTCCGGCCTCATGATACGCTACAGTAGTTTTCTCTGGGAGCTGCAGGACCTGAGTCTTTTTCTCCAGACCTGTGAGCAAAGAGGGTGTCTTACCAAATTGCAGTGCATGTGTGTATGTTTTTTTTTTATTACAAGAACTAAGTTATCTGCATAAATGTGGTTAACTTACCTCCAATAACTCTCTCCACTGCCTGCTCAAAGTGCTTTGTATTGACATGTTGGTTGAGGTGACGCGCTGCTATCAGAGCAGCCTCATTACACACATTAGCAATATCAGCCCCTGAGACACAAAAGGAGACACAACAACCAAGTTAGACTGTGCTGTGACAAAAAAAATACAGCAAGAGATACAGAGGACAAACTGTATGATCCTAGATTGATGCAAACAAACACACATCTCTTGCTCTTACCAGTAAAACCTGGGGTTAGTGCAGCGAGCTTCCGGGCTAAAGCCTCTACTTCTATACTCGTGTCCAACTTCAAGGGTCTTAAATGCACTTTAAAGATGGATGCCCTCCCTTTAATATCTGGTGGGCCTGTAGAAGAAAAGAAAACAGACATATAGTGAATTTCAGGGCTTTCTTTTTTTAAAACAAAATGATAAGCAGTGAGCAAAAGCAGATTAAAATAACAGATACTGCAGAGCTAACATCATATATGATAATGCAGCTGATACAGAGGCAACACTACTCCTACACATTGCTGAGCAAGGAAAAATAAGCGTGTCTCAGATTGTAAGACTCATCAGGATGGCACATTTACAAATATTACAGCAGCTGGTCCCGATAACCACTTAGCTCTTCTCCTGCAGTACAGGTGTTCATGTCATACTGCTGATTTTCAAGATGACGCTGACAAGTGGTTCACGGCCAACACACAGCTTTAAACACCAAGGTTGTTTATGCACTTAGGATTACTTCAAGTCAAACAACAGCAGCATAAAAGAGGAAGTAAAGGACCTCAGCTACACAGAGTCAATTCCAAAATGCTGGTGCCAACAACTATAATGTTAAATTGATTTTGTAAAGCTGTGCATCAAACTAGGAAGCAAAGACAATATTGAAAGACAATGTGTGACCAAGCAGCTCCCTATAAAGCAGCATTGTCTTTTACAAGGAGAGAATTGTTTTCACAGGCAAGCATGAGATCTATGACATTCATCTTGAAGATAGCTGTCAAATATGCAAATATTCTAGAGCTTATATCTCTAGTCTGTTGCCAAAGTGGCGGCTAGGATTGACACAAGGGTAGAGAGGAGAGTGTGATGGAGCATTTGAAGGATCCATCAGATCTCATTTTAACAGTAGTTAAATTTGCGGCCTGATCAAACATTAACTACCTCGGCCATGTAGGTTATAGGTCAGGTTCACTTTGTTTGTTTGTCAGTGAGATTACAGAAAAACCATTGACGAAAGTTTCATTAAATTTGGTGGACGTGTGGAACATGGCCCAAGAAAGCACGCATTAAATTTTGAGTGGATCCAAATCACAAGGCGGATTTTCAAATTATTTTTCCCTTTGGAAAGTTGGCCGTGGTGGAGGTCTGTGCACTCTGACTGCCCCTCTAGTTAGTAATGTGGCTAATTTAAGCACCTTCATCAATCCAATACTGTTTACACAGAACAACAGAAACACTAAAGGACAGGGAGCTGAGAGAGTCAACAACACAGAGAGGAGCGGTGTGTCCCGTCCCTCATGTTGGCCTCCAGTCATCTAATCCTTCTTTTATAGAAAGCCAGCTCTCTCATTTTGACCCAGTTTTCTTTGTCAGAGAGAAAACTGCCCGGCCCACTATTGTCCAGCACTGCTGGCGTACAGCAAATTAGATCTTAGCAGGCAGAAAAAAGATCAAGCATTTTAACCACAAAGACAAAAGTGCACAGTATGCAACACACGCTTTTAATGACATGACAAATGAGCAGGCGCAAAAGAACAGATGCAAATCTGAGAGGCTTGAAGCTAAATTCTATGGAAACCATAGAGGGAGTGTGTCAAGGTCAAGCTTAGCACCTCGTCTGAAGCAGGCAAAACAAATCTGCAATAGCAGCGACCACGTACACACATGCATTCACACACACAAACACACTCAAAAACACTTATCACTACACTACAGTGATTTATGACGATGTAGTGAAAGCTATTAAGGGTTCTCTCTTAAACCCGGCACAGCGCAGGACAGCACAAAGCAACTGTGATTCATAGTTTCCGACCAACACAGTTCTCATTTTCAAGAATAGCACCCATGTTATGTAAGTAGCAAATGTACTAGCACCCGTCTCTGCACCCATGAGCATGTAGGTCTTAGAATGAGGTGTGGTCAGGCACATTGGTGGCACATTTCTATTCTGAGGCAGCAGAACGTGACTGTGCCATTGACCAACAAAAACTTGGTCTCAAGTCTACAACGCAGTATCTTCCTGCTATTTAAAGGGCACATTATTCAGGTAGTAAGATGCACCTACATAGGTGTGTTCACAACATGCGTAAACTATGTTTGTTACATACACAGGGTTGAGTGGATGGGTTGCAGGTGTGTGAAGTAACACATACATAATAAGAAAAATACTGATTGCATTCTTACATTCATCTAAAATGTGAACGGAGCAGAGAGCAGAGCAGAGCTGCTGTCCGATTCCCAATTAAGAGAGACACTGTGCTCATTTATGCACGAGGAGCAGCGTAGCTTTATAATTTTGCGCTGGGTGCAGGTGGACCCTAATTGGTTGAATTCATGCTACACCCAAAACATACCTCTGATTAATTAAGGGACTAAAGACAACCCCTTTGTCCCTTGCGCCTTACTTTGTGCCCAGATTATGCACCATTTAGCTCACAAAAGTGCAGCTGGACAGGCCTTTAATGCACTCACACCATGCACTTAAGACAATGTGCTATAGAGCTTTTAATAGGGCCCTTTGAGTCTCTATAAGAATTGTCAAATCTTAAACTAGTTCTCATGCATCCACAGGAGAGCAGGACTTACAAAGCTAGAGAAGAGGCAGACAAGTGCTACATTTTTACCTATATATATATGTCGATCAAAACGTCCTGGCCTCAGCAAAGCTGGATCCAGGATATCAGCTCGATTGGTGCCAGCTAAAACGACCACGTTAGTGCGACTGTTGAACCCTGTTGAATGACAAAAACAAATAGCAAACAAAGTCCTTGCAAAACCAGGAATGGGAGAAAGGCTTGAACGCTGACAAAGATCACGTAACTACCTACCATCCATTTCCACAAGCAACTGGTTGAGCGTGTTTTCCTGCTCGCTCTGGTTGCCAAAGTTGCCCCCGCCTCTCTTTTTGCCAACTGCGTCGATCTCATCAATGAAGAGGATGCAGGGGGCATTCTTTCGAGCTGTGGCAAACGTATCCCTAATCTAATATGAGACAAACACAAAGAAATCACTTAACACCAACAGGGCACCTCTTCCAAGTGCTCTATATAAGGTAACAATCCAAAGAATCATTGTGTTTACAGATAATGTGGACCATGAGCTACGTGTGCCCCATCATTCAGCTTTAAAACTACTTGGATGAGTGTGGCATTTAGCCTGGTACTGACCCTCGCTGGTCCCACGCCAACAAACATCTCCTGGAACTCTGATCCATTTACAGTGATAAAGGGGACATTGGCTTCTCCTGCAGTGGCCTTCGCGAGCAAGGTCTTGCCAGTACCAGGTGGACCCGATAACACAGCACCCTGGAAACAAAGGTGTTGCTTAATGAGCAATAGAAATGCCTTAACATATACTTGACCCAGTGGAGAAATGTCTCATTTTAAAACCCTTTTCTTAGCTCATATTTTTCTTTGGAGGAAAAAATTCCTCCCTATGATAAACAGGATGGCACACCTTTGGAATCTTGGCTCCGAGGTCCTGGTACTGCCGCGGGTTCTTCAAGAAGTTGACAAACTCCATAATCTCTAGTTTGGCCTCCTCACAGCCTGCGACATCCTTGAACTGAACGTTGATGTTGTCTTTTATTATCTTGGCCTTTGATTCACTCATGCTGAAGGGGTTTACTCGCCCCCTACCCCCACGGCCCCCTGCCATCGGCCCCTGCCGTGTGGCAAAAAGTAAAAAGCCTACCAGCAGTAAGGCTGGGAAAATGCTGAGCAGGAGAGTCCTGTGGGTGAAGAGAAAGAAGCTCCATTAGGACAGCATCAACATGAGCAAATCCAATATGCATCAAAATCACCGGGCTATAGTCTCAGCTACTCATCGGATGAAATTCTCACCCATCACTTTCACTGCTGTAGAATACAGGAACTTTCTGTGAGTCCAGTCCCATTTCCTGTTGGGCCATCTCCAGGTTGTGCTCAAATGAGTCAACACTCCCAATATTGAACCATAAATAGCTCTGAAACATACACACAAAACAGACAACATATAACATGCAATCAGTATACATTATATGTTTTAAATTTTGAAGCAAGACTATGTGAAGTTTCTGAAGATGAAATAGCAAGGAAGACATACTTTTTCCTTACACAACATAAATAAATGTCTTGTTGCTACTGTCTTAACTTTATCTGGTGGGACCTGTAGCTTAGGGTGGCTAATGTTGGCAAACTCTTGATCGTGAAAGTTTATTTTTTGACTTGGAAATTAAAGTTTGACCAAATTATACCCAACTCAATACCCACTTTGCAGCATTGAACCTAATCAGTGAATTGGATTTGGGTGTATGTATGGCTCCTCTCCTCTTGTGTAACTGTTAAACTACACTTCAAAATACCCCAAACTTAATCAACAGGGTGACAAACGAAAGGACATAAAAGCATTTTCATGCAACTAACCACTTCTGACGTGTCCACTCCATGGGCAGGAATTACTTTGACATACTGTTTATTTACAACCTCCAGGTGTGCCACCTGTGTAGACGGCACAAAAACCAAGTTGTTCACAGGGTTGCAAAACAGAAAGGTAAAAGGCACCTCCATTCAGAGGATACCAAAACTATAACCCTTTCTGTCTCTTACCAAGCCTCTGTTCAAGTAGTGATTCACAAAGTCCTTCCAGGAGATCTGCATCCCCGTCTCTCGGAAGTAAAAGTACAAAAAAGCTGAGACCATGCCGGCTGCAGCGATGGCAGAGTAGCGAAGTGCTTTTTCATCCAAGGGAAAATCATCCTGTTAGATGAAGAAATTTTACCATGTTATTAGTGTTTTTGTGTAGTGCATTATGTGAGCATTACTTGAAGGCAGTTATCAGCAAATTTCTGGACATGATTCACACCTGAAAGCGCGTCCACCAGTGTGATTCTTCCTTTTTCCCTCCTCTTCGTCTTTCGTCCCCATCATCATTTGTGTCCCTCTCCTCCCTTACATGAGATTATTGATCTTTGGTATTTTCGTCTAAATGGTAACAGAAGAACCAGTCATACACTGCAGAGGAAAGGAGAACAGAGGGTGCACATATGCTGCTTGTGATGATGACCCCAACTTTCCTCACCTTCAGCGGATTTGCTGACGCCGGTGCTTTCCTCATTCTTTGGGAAAAACTTTTCAAAACCTAAACCAGTTCAACAGCAAACACACACAAGAAAAGAATTACGTGCAAATGGCTCACATTGACCTGAAAAGATGTAGGTCAGTGTGTAAACTTATTTAGCTCCATTACACAGTGTAACAGCATTAGGGGGTACACTACCTCTTGGTGGTTTGTTGGAGCTAAGCAACCGCGCGAGCGAGAAACTGTGTTGATATAATCCTCCACATCTCCTCTGGATCAGTGACGCCTTCTGAAATACAGATACCATATGATGAATACGTGGACAGGAAGTATACGGCAGAAAGGCTTCATCTCAACATGCTGTATGTAGCAGACGTTAAACCTAATGTAAAATGGCAGACACGTTACATTAGCAGCTATTATCAATCACTCATACAGACTAGCTTTCATGTTAATATGAGATATATGCCCTGCTTTTTTCCAAAGAACATTATTCACAGGATTACTGAAATCTCATTATGGTGTGGACATACTGGACTGTGTCACAGTTAACCTAATTTCATTCATTCAACACTGTTGCAGATAACCCACTTATACAATGAACAGTTCCTTTAAAGCTGCTATTTACTCACATATCTGTCACTGGGGAAGATCAAACATAGATGAAATTATACTTAAAGGTTATAAACACTTTTAAAAGTAAGTGGAATGTGTTTCTTTCACACAACTGCAAAATCTTTGATTGTTGTCTATCACTGGAGCAGCACTGATCCTGGGTTTATGCAGCTAATACTGTTGGGGTTACCTGAGAATAATAAAAATCTAACAATAGCTGAGGAAAGTGCTGCACTGGGTCAAGACACTAGGTGTAGGTAACTGAAAAAAATCAGGTGTTCCTCAAGGATAGGGCAAATAGTCGCAAAGGAAGAAAGAGCAATGACAGCCTCAGCTTACTATGTGAAGACGTCCATGGTTTGGGCTGGCAGCCTATAAAGGCATCAGAAGCACTCTGATTATAAATAAAAATCCTTTATTCACATGGATAGACCGTGTGTTGGAAACGTGTCTTCATCAGGGTATCAGGGCAACCTGATGAAGACTGTCTAAGGTTGAAACATGTTGGTCTATACATGTGAACACAGACTACCACCCCACACCATGGACTTCTACACTGAGTAAGCTGGGACAGTCACTGCTTTTTATTCCTAATAGCTGATATGATTTGTTTTTACATGATCACATAACATAAGCAAACCTTTTGTTCTCATATCAAGGTATAGCTCATTAACACTGTGATCTTGTTGAACCATAATCTTTGTCATCAAAGATGTCAGAAATGTTCAGTTTAAAATGTTGGGGATTTTTTAAAATATTAACTGTGAATTTAAAAAAACTGAGACACTTCAGAGGAACACTTCATCAACAAAATGACCATTTGTAAATCAATTAGTCATGTAACCTCAAATTCTAAGAAAACTTTGTTTTTCTGGCATGCGTCCACTGAAAACCAGGAACATCTCATTTATCTAATTGTATGCTCAGTACTTCCCAAGCAAAAACATTTTAGCTAAAAAACAAACGCTTAGTATTGGAGTCTGGCTTCGAAGAAAGCATAGATACATTTCACTTTCAGATTTGAGCAAAAATGCATGTGTTTGTGAAGTACTGAGCATATGACTGGATAAATAAGACTTGGATTATACTGCATGAGTTGTGTGAGAGTTTGAAGACGGATGTAATGATGAGGTTTAGCTGTTTCTAACTCTGTTTACTTCACTTAATTAGGAATGTTTGCCTTTTTTGATCTCTGGTCACTGCGGAAATATGAAAGAAAAGCACAGTGTTCTTCACAAATTTAAGATAACATGGCATGACTTAGTGATTTACAAAATAATCCTTAAAATGGAATAAAACACTTAGTGCTGCAGTTTACTGTAATTTCTGCACAGCTGCCAATATCAGCCTGTCTGTGTATGGGTCAGGCTCTATTCACCATGCAAAGTCCATCAGAGAGAAAAAAAGAGGAAACTCACTGTATTACATAATGTTTGTTTCATTCGAGTACGCACCATTCCCTTGTGGAAAATACTCCTGAGATAAGATCAACAATATACTGTATATCTGATACATTTTTATTTCTGCATTTTATTTTTATTTATGTTCAGGGGCTAAGTGCAGCCATTTATCTGGCAATCAACAGGGAAAAAAATTAATCTGCAATCAGTTTCTTTGATCTCATTATCCTACTGCAATAGAAAAACAAAAAGTCCATTTAGGGACATCTCATTCCAGCCAGTGAACCTGTGTTACATCTAATTTTGGAGGAAAGAATATGAAAAATAAAACAACCTCCTGTGCAAAAAGTTCACTACTTTTAGATGCCAACTTGCGCACACAAGCGAGTTTTATACTTATTTAATAATTTGCATATCTTATAATATTTGCTTTGCCTATTTTAAAAAGTAAATGCAACTGAATGAGTACGTGAGGCGGATGTGTGAGACGTGCACGGACTTAGCGCGCCCCTCCCCACCACACAGGCACAGAGACACACCCCCTTCAAACACATCATTATGAAACTGAGGAAACTGACTCCTAAACTAAACATTATCGTACGGAAATACCATGAGAGTGCAAACAACTGGGGAACTGTACATAAACAGTGCCGCAGCTTGTTTGTTTACAGGTGTTTGGGGGGTCTGCAGCCTGCACCGAGGAACACTGTGTTCTTTCCCACGACAGACCCCAAACACAGCCACAAAGGGCTCAAACTCCTGCTACACACTCTTATTCAACACATGCAAGTAGCTGGTGTAAAACATTACGTTTGCATACATATTTGTTTTTGGAAAGGAGCGCACCGACTTTACGTAATAGGAAAAACAACAGAAACAATGTCACCGTACCGACGCCAGTGCGCCGCCGCTGCGTAAAGTAGCCGAGATGTTGGATAACTCTCGGCTCCAGGTCCGAACCGCCAGCACCCGGTTTCGAAAGGGTCCGACACCTGCAGACAGCAGCCCCATAGCGTCTGCTTCTTTCTCTGGGCTTCACTGGAGTGGACTCCAGTTGACGAGCCCCAGAAGTACGGTCAACACAATGCCAACTCGTACTCTCGCGAGATCTCAGTTACAAAACACCAGCATGAGGTCTCAGATAAGGAGCGTTTCAATAAGTCCCATTATGAGATGTTTTCTTTTACAGGTTTAGGATTAGGTTATATCTGAATGGAACATCTACAAGCTAAAACCACTAAGATAATATTTTAGTGTAGCACAAAGCCTGGGATTTAATTCAGTTTGAAGCCTCTGTTTGTTTTTGTGTTTTTCAGGAGCCCATGTAAAAGGGGGAGGGGGTCACTGGGTTTCTTCCTCACATGCTGCAAACCCATGCACACATATGCACCAATTTGTTTTACACCAGAATTCCTGTTTATAATGGTGCTGTCATTAACATATATATTTTGTATATTGAATATTACATAACTTTACACAGTGTTTGAAATTTGGTTCAGCAGCATAAGACGTCCTGTACTCTGCGTTAATGGCAGTAATCCAACTCCTCCTCATGTACACATGTGTTCTCCTCATGGAGCCAAAGTAGGCGTGAGTGATTGATGCAAATGTGCCCAGAACATACTATATGACTATATGACAAAGAGGTGTCAGTTTCATTCTAGTTCATGGTCCATATATAACCCAGTTTAATCTCAAGTGGGTCAGACCAGTAAATCATTGCATGATAACCTATAAATAACAGCACCCCCACATTTTTCCCTCTCTGTTAGTGTAAAGAAGTACATTGTGAAAATGTTCACCCAGTTACAAAACAGATGATGAACGTGCGGAGATGTCTCAAGAAAAACATGTCAAATTCAGTCAGTCTACGAGACCGGGGTTGGTTGTCACATTTTTTTACTCTCGTTTAAATTGCTCATCATCATATCATCTTTCAACAGTCATTCCTACATTAAATAAATGCTGAGCTTGAAATGGGTATCCCTTTTATTTTTCACAACCTATTAACAAGATGTAATTAACCATCAAAGACACTCTGACACATTGTGAACACCAATCCCATCACAAAACTGGTTGTCACAATGACTAGGGTTGGTTGTCCCTATAGTTACCAATTGGGTTTCAGAAAAAAAATAAAGATTTAATAAAATGTGCAACTTTTTAGTTTTTTAAGATAAAACACCATGCAAGTTTTGAAATTAATACCACCTCCATACATGTACTCATCAATGCCCCTTGTGTTGAAACCATAAATTTGTACTCAGCGTTTGTTTGAATGATCCTCTGTAATGAAACTAAAATAAAGAAATTTACAGTGTTGAAAAAAATCTAGCCTTTATCAAAGCTATTGCTTCATGACAATTCATTACGAATTTAACATTATTAAATAACATGTAACATGTATGTAACATTACTATAAGTTTAAATGTGAAACAGCCTGGGTTGAAGTGTGTAACTGTAGAGATACAACATTGCTTTTGTGACAACCAACCTGTGGAACAACCAATCCCGGTCTCCCCTACTCACTGTCGCTACATGTGCATTTTTCTATACATTTCCACTCCTGTGTAGTGCTGTTGGCATCATCACAAGAAAAGTAAAGTGGAAGCTACTGAGAAAGCAGGTTGCCTTACAAACCATTTATTAATGAAACGTTTTGGCAGTGTCTTTGGAGCAGGGCTCCACCAATACTGATAGATGTTTGATACGGATTCTTTTGTGCTAAAGCTGCAGGTTGAAAATCTTTGGCACAATGTCCAGTATATCTAAATATGACCACAATAAGAATTCTTTGACAGAAAGAAAGAAAGAAAGAAAGAAAGAAGACTTCTGAAGCAGCATTTCATATGAAGAAGGCTACTTAGTGTTTGTTCCTGAAATCTGCCATCTCAAGGCACACCTGTATTTATATCTGTGCACAATAGCCTCTATTACATTTGTTTTGACTCTTATCACAACATAAATGTTTGTTTTTATTTACTAATATCGCATAACAATTGACAAATCAACCATTGCTCATGAAATATTTATTAACAAAATGATCCAGGGATTCAGTTTAAACTTTTTAAAATTCCGTCAGAGCACCAATAACAAATCCATTTATAAAGTAAGATAATGTGATGTGTCACAAATGTATAATCCTCTTGTGCAAATGGTGACAAATAGGTTCCTTGTGAAGATTTTTTAAAGTTAAATTACATTTTTTAACTTAAGTTTGCCTCTTTATTAGGAAATGAGCGTGTACAACATTGATACAGTCGATTAAAAATTCATTCATATCTTTTTGTATAGGCCCAGTTGAATATTTCAGTAATAATGCGTGATTATCATAAAATCCCACAGCATAGCAGTGTGCCATGTCAAACCATTTGAGAACCACTGTCTTAGACTTCATAAAGGCATCAATATTAGATGTGTAAAGTCACCCAGAGGGCCAGATTGGACCCTTTCGCAAGCCGGTAACAAGTGGTGGAAAGTAAGTAGATTTACTTCAGTAGGCTACTACAGTAGTAAATACAAGCATGTGTGTGACTGACATCCTTTTAAAACCTGTTTCTCATTAACATTTCTCCTGGAAAGACAAATGGTTTAGTGAAAACAAGGGATGTCGCAGTGACTGAGTATGTGCCGATAATCTAATAATAATTTATTTCTAATTCTGTAGCTGCCTATTAAAGTAGCAGTACACAATTCTGGAGAAAGATAAATGATTGTGAAGTCTCATTCCCAGGTTGTCAAACATGAACATTTTTGGGTTGGTGGTTTGGTCCGACAGCCAACAAAAGGCTGTTGGTATTCGACGACCTGTGAATGAGACATAACAATAAACTATCTTTCTCCAAAATTGCATCTTTAAAAGGCAGAGATTATAATTAATAATAATTCATCCATGAACATGTGAAAATTGAACTTGACTTAAACGCAACACCTCAGCTTTAATGCATTTCATGACTTTATTCATGCACTACTCCACATGTTTTACATCAGGGCATGGCTTTTACGAACACCATGTATGTCCATTAGTTTGAAAAAACAAAAACAATTACAGTATATCATGCTGAAAGATAACACAGCCAAAACTCATTATTTTAAAACAAATACTTTAGGTCAACATGTACACATTACCAAAGGTGTCACTTAACATCTTTGTCATTGCTGGACAACATGTGCTATACATACTTTAAGACTGAAACCATTAACATGATGGTAAGTGTATTAAGACGTTTGGATAACAGCTGTATGTAACCTGACTATTTTAGGCACACATGAGTATTCACATCTATTTGCTACACACTGCACTAAACTGAACCGGATTAAACACAGATTAAATGGTCTAAGACTAGGTCACAGTTTTGAACAGAAGGAGAGCACATTTAAATCTTTGATCCTTTTCTTTTGCAGTTTAACAACGATCCTTACAGGAAAATGCATGCGATGGTTATAGCATATCCATTGCCAGTATATGTATTAATATTTCAAATTATGGCTGTAATGACTGTATAGGTTTCGCATATTGACAAGGGGGGAAATAACAATTAAGAAACTCAAAGCAGACCTTTGCTGGAAAGAAATATTGCTTTAAAGCCTTGAAATATTTTTCTTTTGACCTTATGAAATGTTGAGCAGATCATTACAGATATGTAATATAAGTGGAGGATGGGTATGGGCTGCTTTAGGGACAGGACCTGCTGGGACTCATGATGGAATATGTGTAAAAAGGAGGAAGAGAAAGAGTGATGGTTTGATCACACAGTCCGTTTGATTTTCTAATTGTTCTCTTCTTGTAAGCTAACTAAATAAAACACACAACTAGAGGCTGAAAGGCAAATTTCCAAGTTATATAATTTTGTGATTTAGTTGAAGCTGTATTTGTAATCCTTAAAGTTCAAAACCATTTTCCGCATATGGCAACCTTAGAGTTAAGTTTTCAGCAAAGTTGGCAGTATAGGTTAATGCAGTCGAGGCTCGTAACAGTTAATATACAACAACTGCTGCATGCATCATCACCTGCTGACGAGGTGTCTTTTCTCTATAGGGCATTTCTTTTGTACATTTATACAAGCAGACGCATACACTAATGCGAATCACTCACACAGACACACATACACAGTGCTCAGAACATCCAGTTTCAGTACGAATTAAAAAGTTGGATAAAAATATATATATATATTAATTTCCAGATGGGTTTCTAAGTACCCTGCTTCATTGTGTAGTGCACGGAGGATAAAGACACTATAGTATAAACATATGCACAAAACAAACCAGGGACAAAGACGAAAAGCTTCTGTTAGACTTATGTTGATCGAGTACAGCACAACATGAGGCAAAGTGCAACATCCAGTAACATCAGGTGGTCCCGTCCAGACTCATGCGTCTTTCGCATCTGGTTCCTCATCCTGCTTGCGTTCAGTCATTCGGGCACAACGTGGACAAGTTGTGGAGTTGTCGTAGTAGCAATCTCTGAAAAGACACATACAAACACACGCATTCATTTGTTGAATAACAGGTCATATTAATTATGTCCATGTGGGTGATGTAGGGTTTATTTCTTTTAAACGAATAGTTCAGTGCTCAGGCAAGAGACTCCCTAAAAACTTGGTATTTCACCCAGATGGGTTTTGCAGGACGCAGCAGTGCACACTTCAGCGGGCTCTGTGAACGCCTCAGCCTGTGAGTGCATGTTCATACTTTACATGATAAACTGCGTGCACCTTTAAAAGGATGAGGAAAAGTTGTGTTAGGGGAGTGCATATTTATTTTGTAACACTGGGTGGCACCTGGACTGTAAATAACCTGAGTTTATTACTTATTTATTTAATTGGGTGGTAAATAGACTGGGGATAGTTGTGTATTAGTTGTAAATAAATTTGGGAATTTGTTGAAATAATAAATATGAGTTTAAAAAAGAATTGTAAGAAAGGGGTAGAGACACAGAAGTTTTACTTCTACCTACTCCTTTTCAGACACTGTTATCTTCGTCTTGAAAGCACACATCTGCACAGAGGACGTATGACACCACCCCTGGGTGAAATACCAAGCTGTTACGGAGTCCCATTCAGGCAGTTGTACTGTAATGCTATCTACAGTATGTTGTGGGACAAACTCATTCATGCCTTTCTTATTTCCCTGTAAGCAGCTCCAAGGTATGTTAATACATTGTGATCTCAGACTAGATTAGCCCAATAACTAGGTGTCTTTGGGATTACGAGGAGCTCCACTCAAAAGTAGGGATTGACACTTTTTTGTAGTGCTAAGGCACTATTTGATATTTTGAGCCTGTTACCACAATGCTATATTTTAAACTCCTATCACATAAATTGCCACATTTGTTGAGTCTGACCAGTTGGTGGTGACTAACCTGTGGAAGACAGCAGAGCAGTCGTGGCAGACCGAGGTATGACTGTCAAAAGGGAACAGTATGTCTCCTTCCTTACACAGCTCACACACAAATCCTTTGGCCTGACAACGCTACACACACACACACACACACACACACAAACAAACACACACACACACACACACACAAAATGAGACAGAAAGTCAGGGTTCAGGATAGTTATATGAATTTCTATTCTTTAAGCAAACAATACAATAGTCAGTAAGTACCTTATGTCTAATAGTGGATAATACAAGATTAAGTGATGTGTGATTCACACACTGGCAACAAGAGAACTCATCAGTATCGTTCTTTGTTCTGTATGTATGAGCTCACCTCACAGTCTAGTTTGATGTGCTTAGCAAATGTGGTGTGAATCTCTGTGAGGGAACAGCTGAGTCTGCCACTGTAGATGTCAATCAAATCCTGTAGTGAGTACATGTCATCGTTCTCCACAAAGTGCTGCCGATCTTGTAACTGGGAGTGACACAAATACAAAACAAAATAATTCATGAAAACGTGCCTTTTATTGTCCGTTAGAAAGTCTTGTAAATATTTCACAATTATCTATGCAGGCTGTGCCAATTTCTGAAATACTAGGAGGACCGATTATAAAATATATTTGAGTCAATACTGAACTTGTACCAGCAACAGACAAGTTTACAGTATTTGTACAGACTGATATCACATGCATTGTCTCAGTTTTACAAAAGGAGCATTTGCTGACACTGCCCAAACTCTCCACTTTCACCACATGGTGGTGCTGTTGTAACATATTACTTACTGGTCACATACCTTCGTATCATACCAGTCTACATAACGCTTTAACTGCACTGCACAAAGTCAGTTTAGTAACGAGATGCTGACCTGTAGTAATAGCCGAGCCTCCATGGCCTCCTTACAAGTAATAAAATAGGGTTTCATCAACAGAATATCCTGACGGAGTTTCTGTAAAGGAAAACACACACACACGCATTGCTGTCAGTCTCACAAAATACACAGAGTTGCAGTTGTTTCCCCATCTCACTGCATGTGCCAGCAGTCTCAACATAATAGCACCTGATGCAAAACATAGTGACAAAGTGCCAGGATGGGTTGGATGACAAAACGACGAGGAATGCTTAAAAATTTCACACCTTCTTTTGGTTCGGTTCACTTTCACACTGCACTTTTTAAAGTGAACCAAACTGGCTGGACAATGTCATGCAGTTAAAACAGCTGCTCGTTTGGGGGCAGTATTGCCCGAAACGACCCCTGACCAGGAAAAAAAAAGCATGAGGAAGAAGAAAACCTGGCTCATCGATTGGCCAGGACTGAAATTGGAAATCCCCAAAACATGGAGCAACACCAAATTTATGCATTCATACACCTCCTCACTACTCCACATCTGCCCACGAGACATTTTCCAACTTTTTCTTTACCTCTGCTTCTCCTGGTTCGAGCTGTTGGCTTTGTTTTTTTCTACCCAAAATGCATTGCACTCTATGTCACTTCCTCTCTTTGGTTCACTTCCTCTCTTTGGTTCACTGGATAGTCAGTTTGCATTTCCCACTGTAAGGGAACCGCACCAGGGTTCACTTGCAAGTGAACCGATACCCCCAGTTTTCAAGCGGACCAGGGTTCGCTAGTTTGGTCTGCACCAAAGTTCAAGTTCACATGAGCGTTCACACCACTCCAAATGAACCGAACTATCTGTGGAAGCGGACCAGGGTTGGTTTAAAGCGGACCAAATAGCGTCAGTGTGAATGCGTGCTAAGAAAGTCTTTAAACTCACAAATTCTTGCAGCGTCTTTACTAGTGCTCATGGTGACACAAGTAATTTGTTTCCTATTTAACCAGGGGGGTCTGATTATGATGGTTTAACAACAGTAGACTCTAAGGTTCCTGTTGTCACTTGATATATTCATGTATTCTAATATGTTTCTTTTTTTCCAAAGTCCATGTCCATATGTCTCTGTGTGTTCTGTGTTTCTTACTTGCCTACAAGACAAATTTTTCCTCTGGAACGATGAAGTTAAAGTTGAGGTGTAAGTTGAAAATAGTGAGGCTACCCACCCTGATCTCGACCAGTTCCTCCACAAAGTTGAATAGCAGCGGGTTGATTTCTTTCAGCTTCAGCACAGGTCGTGCCAGCATCAGCGCCAGGTAGCGCATTGAGGAGCGACAAACCTGAAAGAGACACACTGTCAGAATGCAGACTGGCTGAATATGCCCACATGAACATACTAATACCCCTTTCATATCAACACACTGATTGGATTCATAACACTCCTCCTGACCTGGTTTTAACTTGAAAGTGGGTCAGATGCTGACTGGCAGGCAATTCAATTAGAAAATGAATGTGAGATGACGTTACTGATGTTCAAACTGAACCCACTTGGGTAATTCTTTCTGAATTTATAGTACGAGAAAAGACACAATAACACTGTTTAACAGACTGCGTGGCGCTGCTCATGACTAGTAAATTGGCTTTGACATGTAAAATTAGTGGAGTGCTTCCTAAAGTTTATTTGATGATTTCATAATGAGATTCTGCATAATTCTGATGTTTGGCAGTAAATTTTCTAAGAGTACATTGCAGATTTGAGTCTGTTTCAACAGTGGCAAGCACATGGTAACCAACAGTTTGACAACAGTTTCAATATATGACTCAAATGCTACTTTAACACATGTTGAGAAGACCTGCATCATACACTGATCTCCTGTTTGAAAAGGTGTGACTTGAAGTTATACTTTAATCGATCAATAGTTTGATGTATAAAAGAAGAACGGATGCTTCTAGATGTAGCATGTATTTTGTTGTGGCTATTGAGGGTACCTTGCGTGCGTCAAACTCCCAGTTGTGAATGACACGAGCCGGGACGATGGCAGTGTCATTCCAGTGGCATGTGTTGCAGTAATACTGTCCTGTGTAGTCACACTGTCTGGCTTCAGTCGGCACGCCCCCTACAAGATAAATACGACACAGTACAGTCAAACTATCAAGGTCAAGATCAAA